GAGGGTGGGTGGGCGGGGCTAGTACTTGCTAAGATAAGACTGATTTTATGGCAATTGAAATCCTTCTAAGAATATAAAGCGCGGGTGGGCGGGGCTAGTACTATTTTATTCAAAAAATATTAGACACTGTCATTCATTCTATCATTTATGACAAATCATATGTGATTCAAGTTTTACTGTCATTTTGACATTTTTCAAAAATCTATTTTGTCAAACGATACATTTGATATTATTAATATCGGACAGATATGACACTACTGTCAGTAAATTAAGGTTATCTAAATAAAGCACATTTTACAAGTTATGACATTTTATGACATTAGTACAAGAAACTGCCCAATATTCTTTTAATAAAACTGTACTTGCTAAAATAAGACCGACTTTGGCAAATTATACACCCTCTAAGAAAAGAGAGGGTGAGGGGCGGGGCTAGTAGCTGCCAAGATAAGAGTGATTCTGGCAAATGAAATACGGTCTAAGAAAATAGAGGGTGGGTGGGCGGGGCTACTATCTGCTAAGATAAAACTGATTTTGGCAAATGACATAACTTCTAAGAAAAGAGGGGGTGGGTGGGCGGGGCTAGTACTTGCTAAGATAAGACTGATTTTAAGGCAACCGAGTCCCTCTAAGAATATAGAGCGCGGGTGGGCGGGGCTATGATTATTTTATTGAAAAAATATTAGGCACTGTCATTCTATCATTTATGACAAATCATATGTGATTCGAAGCTTTACTGTCATTTTGACACTTTTCAAAAATCTATTTTGTCAAACGATACCTTTGATATTATTAATATCGGACAGATATGACACTACTGTCAGTAAATTAAGGTTATCTAAATAAAGCACATTTTACAAGTTATGACATTTTATGACATTAGTACAAGAAACTGCCCAATATTCTTTTAATAAAACTGTACTTGCTAAAATAAGACCGACTTTGGCAAATTATACACCCTCTAAGAAAAGAGAGGGTGAGGGGCGGGGCTAGTAGCTGCCAAGATAAGAGTGATTCTGGCAAATGAAATACGGTCTAAGAAAATAGAGGGTGGGTGGGCGGGGCTACTATCTGCTAAGATAAAACTGATTTTGGCAAATGACATAACTTCTAAGAAAAGAGGGGGTGGGTGGGCGGGGCTAGTACTTGCTAAGATAAGACTGATTTTAAGGCAACCGAGTCCCTCTAAGAATATAGAGCGCGGGTGGGCGGGGCTATGATTATTTTATTGAAAAAATATTAGGCACTGTCATTCTATCATTTATGACAAATCATATGTGATTCGAAGCTTTACTGTCATTTTGACACTTTTCAAAAATCTATTTTGTCAAACGATACCTTTGATATTATTAATATCGGACAGATATGACACTACTGTCAGTAAATTAAGGTTATCTAAATAAAGCACATTTTACAAGTTATGACATTTTATGACATTAGTACAAGAAACTGCCCAATATTCTTTTAATAAAACTGTACTTGCTAAAATAAGACCGACTTTGGCAAATTATACACCCTCTAAGAAAAGAGAGGGTGAGGGGCGGGGCTAGTAGCTGCCAAGATAAGAGTGATTCTGGCAAATGAAATACGGTCTAAGAAAATAGAGGGTGGGTGGGCGGGGCTACTATCTGCTAAGATAAAACTGATTTTGGCAAATGACTTAACTTCTAAGAAAAGAGGGGGTGGGTGGGCGGGGCTAGTACTTGCTAAGATAAGACTGATTTTAAGGCAACCGAGATCCCTCTAAGAATATAGAGCGCGGGTGGGCGGGGCTATGATTATTTTATTGAAAAAATATTAGGCACTGTCATTCTATCATTTATGACAAATCATATGTGATTCGAAGCTTTACTGTCATTTTGACACTTTTCAAAAATCTATTTTGTCAAACGATACCTTTGATATTATCAATATCCGACAGATATGACACTACTGTCATTAAATTAGGGTTATCTAAATAAAGCACATTTTACAAGTTATGACATTTTATGACATTAGTAAATGACAACTGGACAATCTTTTTTGAATAAAACCGTACTTGCTAAAATAAGACCGATTTTGGCTAATGATATACCCTCTAAGAAAAGAGACGGTGAGGGGCGGAGCTAGTAGCTGCCAACGTAAGACTGATTCTGGCAAATGAAATACGGTCTAAAAAAATAGTGGGTGGGTGGGCGGGGCTACTATCTGCTAAGATAAATCTGATTTTGGCAAATAACATACCTTCTAAGAAAAGAGGGGATGGGTGGGCGGGGCTAGTACTTACTAAGATAAGACTGATTTTGGCAATTGAGATCCCTCTAAGAATATAGATGGCGGGTGGGCGGGGCTAGTATTATTTTTTTCAAAAAATATTAGACACTGTCATTCTATCATTTATGACAAATCATATGTGATTCAAGCTTTACTGTCATTTTGACACTTTTTAAAAATCTATTTTGTCAAACGATGCTTTTGATATTATTAATATCGGACAGATAGGACACTACTGTCAGTAAATTAAGGTTATCTAAATAAAGCACATTTTACAAGTTATGACATTTTATGACATTAGTACAAGAAACTGCCCAATATTCTTTTAATAAAACTGTACGTGCTAAAATAAGACCGATTTTGGCAAATGACATACCTTCTAAGAAAAGAGAGGGTGAGGGGCGGGGCTAGTACCTGCTAAGATAAGACTGATTCTGGCAAATGAAATACGGTCTAAGAAAATAGGGGGCGGGTGGGCGGGGCTACTATCTGCTAAGATAAAACTGATTTTGGCAAATGACATACCTTCTAAGAAAAGAGGGGGTGTGTGGACGGGGCTAGTACTTGCTAAGATAAGACTAATTTTATGGCAATTGAGATCATATTCATATTATGAAAATCATGTAGATGGTAAAACGCTAACCAAAATTTGTCTAATCATCCCCACCACTAATGCAATGACGTCACTTCAAAATTGTACATAGTAAATGGGTTTTAAATTGTATAAAATAACACAGTCCTACACATGTAGTTTATGACTCTGAATTGAGATTTTACCCGAAACGTCCAGATTTTTGGAAAAAAATCAAAATTAGGAAACAACATTTTGACATTTAATTTGGAATCTGCAAAAGCGAATGCTTTGAAATCTTGCAGATGGTTTACAGTTATGATAAGCATGATAAAATATTAATCACAATATATTTACTTATCCCCTCCAAAAAATTGATGGCGTCAGTTCAAAAGTTTGCCGAATAAATCCTATGTAAAATGTATAAAATATGATGAGTCTGTACTTGTGATTTATCATTCCATTAATATTTTTTCGATTTGCGTATACAGGGTGACTCAAAAAAATTATCATTGTATTTTAGTTATTTCGAGTTATTTTATAAATAGAAATATTTATCAGAATCAGACAAATTTTGTTATCGTTTTACCATGTATTGTAAACGATATTCCTAAAATGATAACAGATTTAAATCATAATTTGATTGGTATAAACATAAACTAACCTTGAAAAATACTGAAACCGTTTATTTTATTTTAATTAAGTTACTGTTTTCGAAGTATACATAGTGTGCAATGTGCCGTATGATCGAAAAAAAAACTTCTCTAGTAGACCGTGGAATTTACTTTTAAAATAATGATGTTGGCGTTGCAGCTATTTGACACCGTAACTGTCAAACTGAACAACGTCATTATCTTAAAAATAAATTGCATGGCCTACTAGAAGGTTTTTTTTGGCAAATAAAAATTAGAAAAAAGTAATCTTATGCTTGAATTTCTAATTTAAAAGTATTTACAGCTTAAATAAATTTTTCAATCATTCAATTTGACCTTTAGCATTATCAAACTTGATAACTGTCGACGTTCCATAAGCTTAAATCTCATTGTTTTATTTTGTCCATTGTGGGAAATCATTTTGAATTAATTATAAGCAACAGAATAATTAATGAAAATTATAGAGTATAACTTAGTCAGAAGCAAAGTTTGATAATCAACTGTTGTTCAACTAGAATGAGTATTAAAATTTAAATAATCAAAAAGTTTTAAAACTGCAGTTTACTCTAGGGGTTTTATAGCCTTTAGATATATTTTTGATTTGTATTATATCAAGAAACATAGTAATCTTTTTTTTAATTTTTAATATTTTAAAATATTTCTTTTTCCAAAATATTTGCAATTTAAATTTTCTGAAATTATAGGTTAGATTATTAATTCATAAATTATGAAAGTTTCCTGATTTAAATTTAACGAATTTACAAATTTAATAAATAAAATGAGTTTTTTAACACAACGTTTATAAAGTTTGTAAAATTTTCTGAAAAGTGTGGAGAATTTTAGTTTTTTTTATACTTTAATTTATCGTGGATTTTGCTGTTTGTAAAAATTATCAAAATCTTTGACGCAACTGATTAAAAATTGGATTTATTTTTTTTAATTATTCGATGTTGGATTATGTAAGTCATAAAATTAGTTAAATAAAACTAAGAGAAAATGGAAAAAAATTGACGCAGTGATATAAGCTACTTTACATTCTACACAGATACGGGTGTTCTTCTCTAAATATTACCCTTGACAATATCTGTCATTTATTTTCGTTGACAAATACTCATTTAACTAATTAAGTCTCTCTCAACTGCTACACGCGTCTATTGTTAGTTTCACTGACACAACAGTGGAGTTTATTGAACAAATTGCTTGGTGTAAATTTGAGCGGCACCGCTGTCTCTATTTAATTCACAAATTGTTTTCTATTTCCTGAATTTCTTGCATCATTATTATAATATTTTTCAGTCGTCATCCTTCAAGCCACCAGCACGCATTAAATATTTACCTGTATTACTAATCGATGAATTCACATCGCAATCGCTGACTAATACAAAATCACTCTAAAACCACCTTCCTTACGAGCTATGAATAATATCAGCCACTATCAGATCGTCAATCTAAACAGACGCTTCCACCGCCACAACAACAACACCACAACAACAACAAATCAATCAAGTTATTACTTCCATACTCACTTCGAAGATCCGAAGAAGAAATCGTGATAATCGTTCCTAATGCATCATCTCGCAAAGTAGCACACTTTCATCCATTAACATAATAGATAAAAATAAACTGACGTCGAAGAGTAGCACAACAACAATTTCACTGTATATTTTGATATTCGTTCCGAGTTTTGATTTGAGTTGTTTGGCTGAGGAAGAATCCTAACGATTCTGGTGGTTTGAGCAACTCATGTTTCCGTTGCGTGGTATTAGTTTTGGTTACTCGTTGGATGCCATCGCCCGGATTATTCCGGGTGTTTGCAGGACGACGCACTAGAAGCAGACGGCCGACTAGTCAATGCGCCTGCCTCGAAGCTGACTGTTGCCATCCGTGTTCCGGAGGTTCTGGCGCAGACTCTTTATTGCCTTTTTTTATGACGAAGCGGCGTTTGAATTTTTCTTTCGACGAGAAAAATTAAAGGAATACATTTGTTTGGTGTGTCATATTGTCACGAAAGAGAAACGTTGTGGGTCATTTTTGTCCACATTATATGCACACTAAAGTAACAGAGCGCAGTGAGTCTGTGGAAGTGAGCGAAGCTCGCTAAAGATCATTAATATATATCATAAACAAAAGTGGCTCTACTGTGGAGCCTTGAACAGTCCCTGATGTTGCAACATAAGAAATCCACGTGTGGCTTTCATGATATATGAAGTTCGTGCAAAAAGACAGATAATATATAAAAATGTGTAATGTACCATGTGAAGATAACGTCAAGTTGTCCTTTGTTATCAAATAATTCAGTGATATGCTACGACATGCAAACCAAGTTTTTATAAGTAGATGTTAGAAAGGAGACAGTTGGCGTTTGATCTGAAAGTAGACTTGACGCTAAATTTTGTATTCCAAGACTTCATATTACACAAGTTGCACAATAAAGAAATTTTTGCAGTTTTCTACATTTTCGGCCAACAGGTACGTAGATATATTTAACAATTAAGTTTTTAAGGTTTTATTAGAACACAAAGACGGAAGACTGTTGACAGCAGCATGTCATTAACTTAATCACGCAATTAATAGACCACGTGATCAAATACAACCAATCAATTCTCGGACGGCTAGACCACCTTAATATTTAATTAGAACTAAATACTTAATTCGTCTAGTCATACACTGGCCCTGAGTTTTTAAATCTGTGGATTTTTAGACACGATTTGTTTTATAAATAACGTCAATAATGACATAAACGTTTTGCATCGAAAAAATAATCCGAGCAAAGCTTCCAGTTTCCACTTTGAAACGCATTTTTACGCGTTAATTAAAATATCGTTAGCAACTAATGCACAATTTATTTCTATCCCACGACTCGTATTATTTTGAAATTTTCTTTTGAGATTTTTGGTTTTCCCATGCCTGCAAGAGAATTGATTTGTTTCTAATAACTTCGTGTTTCTAGGAAAACGCTTTCGATTTAATTACGATTATTAACACTTATCGTAGTTAACATTATAAATAATAATATTAATTGTGTTTAAATATTTAAATCCGTCATGAATGGGAGCGAAATTAGCACATTTTCTGGTTATAATTTGAATTTTTTTAACTGTTAAGTATAAATTAGGAGTAATTACGATTTGCGTTTTTTTTTTCTTTTTTTAACAGCCTATCTCCGCCCACCCACCCCGCCTCCATTTCAGTGCTTCATTTTTTTATACTCAACAGAAATAAAATCGTTAGAATGAGAAAAGCGCAGGTGGGTGGGGCTAGTACTTGATAAGATAAGGCTGATTTTGGTAAATAACATACCTTCTAAGAAAATAAAGGGTGGGTGGGCGGGGCAAGTACTTGCTAAGATAAGACTGGTTGTGTCAAATTACATGCCCTCTAAGAAAATAGGGGGCGGCCAGACGGGACTAGAGTATTTGTTAAGATAAGACTGATTTTGGTAAATAACTGAGGAGGTGGGTGGGCGGGGCTATTGCTTGCTTATAAAACACTTTTGAACCTTTTCCGGACACCCTCAAAAATGATTTTGAATTCGAGTATTTCGAAAACTTGTGGTCATACCAGTTTTACACTGTTTGCTCTAATAGACGTACTAATCGCAAGAAAACACAATTTTTTTTCATAACTTTTATTCACACAATTTTTTCGGAGTTATATTAAATAAGTATAATGAGACTTTCAAAGTTTGTTATATTTCTAACCTTAAAATACAATCAGGTGGCATTTATTATCTATTATCTGCAACCAAATAAACACCACAGTTTACTCACAAAAGCAGAGGATCCACGGAGCAACAATTTTAATTACACATTTAATTTTAAAATCAAAATTTTAGTTTTAGTTGCTTACGGATTGATTCTATATTTAGTAGTATATTTGTAATTTCCATAATCATGTCATTTATTTAGTGGTTGTATTAACAACTCGAATTTGTATACAGTTGAAAGAGTGATGTGATGTGCCAGTTGTGCAGTAGTACCAACTGTACAACTGGTGTGACAGCCAACTCTAATTCGTTATATTTTCTATTCTAAAGTCAAACTGAAAACTCGCAAGCTGAAAAGTAAAAAATTGAAAAATCCAAAAATTGAGAACTTTAAAAATTGATGATACATTGAAAATCAAGAAATCAAATGAAAAATTGAAAAACTCAGAAATTGAAACATCGGAAAACAGATATTGAAAAATTCTAAGTCAAAAAAATTGAACAATTGGAAAATGAAAATCAAAAAATTGAAAATTGAAAGAAAATTTTAAAAATTGAATTCATAATCCAAATACTGAAGAAATGAAAAATCGAAAAATTGAAAAATTCGAAAAACTGAAAAATCGAAGCATTTAATAAAATCCAAAATCAAGAAACTAATAATCGAACAATTGTAAACTTGAAACATTAAAAAAATAGAAATATTGAAACATCTAAACATTCAAAAGCCGAAACGTTGAAAAACAGAAATGAAAAATTAAAAACCGAGAGATGAAAAATTAAAATTTGAAACAAGAATCTAAAAAAAAAAGTCAAGAAATTGACAAATTGAAAAATTATGTTAAAGAAAAATTTAAAAATTTAATTTAATATCGAAAATCAAGAAGCTGAAACATCCAAACTAAGAAGTCGAAAAATTGAAAAAAATTGACAAATTGTAGAATTTAAACATTCAAAATTGGAAATATTGGAAAATCGAAAGATTGATAAATAAAACATAAAAAAAAGGCAAACTGAAAAGTTAAAAATCGAGAAATTGAAAAATCCAAAAATTGAGAACTTTAAAAATGGATACAATGAAAATCAAGAAATCTAAAAATAGAGAAACTGAGAACTGAAAAATTGAAAAATGCATAAATCAAAAAATAGAAATTGAAAAATTTTAAAGTAAATAAAAGCGAAAATTGCAAAATAAAAATCAAAAAATTTAAATTTGAACGAAAAATCTAAAAATTCAATACAAATCCAAATACTGAAGAACTGAATAATCGAAAAATTGAAAAATTCGCAAAATTGAAAATCGAAAAGTTAAAACATCGAAAAATTGAAACATTTAATAACCGAAAAATTGTAAAATCGAACAATTAAAGAGAAGTAATGTTGGATTGCAAAAAGTGAAGAAACTAATAACCGAAAAATTGTGAACTTGAAACATGAAAAAATGGAAACATTGAAAAATCTAAACATTCAAAAGTCGAAAAATTGAAAAAGAGAAATGAAAAATTAAAAACCGAAAGCTGAAAAATGAAAATGTGAAACAAGAAAAATCGAAAAATTCCACTGTTAAAAATAATTCGAAAAATTGAAAAATTCAAAAGTGGAAAAATCTGAATATTGAAAATGTAAAAGTGGGAAGATCGGGACATCGAAAGATTCAGAAGTTGAAAAATCGAAAAATTACAAAATAAAAATCAAAAATTTGGGAAAAGAGAAACCAAAAAGTCGACAAATTGACACTCTGAAAAAACATTTTAAAGAAAAATTTAAAAGTTGAATTTAATATCGACAATCAAGAAACTGAAAAATCGAAACACTGAGAACGAAAAATTGAAAAAATGGACAAATTGTAGAATTCAAACATTCAAAATTGGAAACATTAAAAAATCGAAACATTTTGATAAATAAAACATCTGAAAAAATTCAGAAACTGAAAAATTTTTAATCGAGAAACTAAAAAATTTTAAAATTGAGAACTTTAAAAATTGATACATCAAGAAGTCGAAAAATAGAGAAATTGTGAATTGAAAAATTGAAAGATTTAGAAATTGAAAAATCGAAAAATAGAAATTGAAAACTTCGCAAGCTGAAAATTCGAAAAATTGAAAAATCGAAAAGTTGAAACTTGAAAAATCGAAACATTGTAAAATCGAAAAACTCAATAAAAATATCACAACTTTGATAAATTGAGACATTTAATTACCAAAAAATTGTAAAATCGCAGAATTAAAGAGAAGCAATATTGGATTGAAAAATCGAAAGTGATTAAACTAATACATCGAACAATTGTAAACTTGAAACATTAAAAAAATGGAAACATCGAAAAATATAAACATTCAAAAATGGAAATGTTGAAAAACAAAAATGAAAAATTAAAAACCGAAACGTGAAAAATTCCATTGTTAAATTCGAAAAATTGAAAGATTCAGAAGTTGACAAATCGAAAAATTACAAAATAAAAATCCAAAAATTGAGAAACGAGAAACCAAAAAGTCGACAAATTGTCAAATTGAAAAACATTTTAAAGAAAAATTTAAATATTGAATTTAATATCGAAAAATCCAAATACTGAAGGAATGAAAAATCGAAAAATTGAAAAATTCGAAAAACTGAAAAATCGAAAAGTTAAAGCCTGAAAAAACGAAACATCTAATAAGTCAAGAAACTAAATAATCGAACAATTGTAAACTTGAAACATAAAAAAAATGGGAACATTGAAAAATCTAAACATTCAACCAAATATTGAAAAACATAATTGAAAAAACCGAGAGGTGAAAAATTAAAATTTGAAACAAGAATCTAATAATTGAGAAAATCAAAAAATTCCACTGTTAAAAATTCGAAACATCGAAAAATTACACAGTAAAATCGAAAAATTGAGAAAAGAAAAACCAAAAAATCAACAAATTGACAAATTGAAAAATTATGTTAAAGAAAAATTTAAAAATTTAATTTAATATTGAAAATTAAGAAATTGAAAAATCTAAACAATGGGAAGTCGAAAATTTGAAAAAATGGACAAATTGTAGAATTCAAACATTCAACATTGGAAATGTTGAAAAATCGAAACATTGATAAATAAAACATTTGAAAAACTAGAGAAACTGAAAAATTAAAAATCAAGAAATCGAAAAATAGCGAATCAGGAATGAAAAATTGAAAAATTCAGAAATTGAAAAATTAAAAAATAGAAAATGCAAATTTTTTAAGTAAATAAAAGCGAAAATTGCAAAATAAAGATAAAAAAATGTAAATTGAAAGAAAAATTTAAAAATTGAATCCAAAATCCAAATACTGAAGAAATAAAAATCGAAAAATTGAAAAATTCGTAAACTGAAAATTCAAATAACTGAAAAATCGAAAAGTTAAAACCTGAAAAAAGGAAACATTGTGAAATCGAAAACTCAATAAAAATATCAAAACATCGAAAAATCGAAACATTTAATAACCAAAAAATTATTAAATCGAAGAATTAAAGAGAAGCAATATTGGATTGAAAAATCTAAAGTCATGAAACTAATAATCGAACTTGAAACATTAAAAAAATGGAAACATTCAATAGTCGAAATGTTGAAAAACAGAAACGAAAAATTAAAAACCGAAAGGTGAAACATTAAAATTTGAAATAAGAATCTAAAAATTGAAAAATCGAAATACTCTAGTGTTAAAAATTCGAAAAATTGAATAATTCAAAAGTTGAAAAATCTGAATATTGAAAATGCAAAAGTCGGAACATCGGGATATTGAAATATTCAGAAGTTGAAAATTCGAAAAATTACAAAATGAAAATAGAAAAATTAAGAAAAGGGAAACCAAAAAATCGACAAATTAAAAATTTTAAATTAAATAAAAGCGAAAATTGCAAATTAAAAATAAAAAAAAAATCAATCAAAAATCCAAATACTGAAGAAATGAATTGAAAAATTGAAAAATTCGCAAGCTGAAAATTCGAAAAATTGAAAAATCTAAAAGTTAAAAATTGAAAAAACGAAACATTGTAAAATCGAAAAACTCAATAAAAATATTAACACATCGAAAACTGAAATATTTAATAACCAAAAAATTGTAGAATCGAAGAATTAAAGAGAAGTTATGTTGGATTGAAAAATATCTAAAGTCAAGAAACTAATAATCGAACAATTGTAAACTTGAAACACTAAAAAAATGGAAACATTGAAAAATCTAAACATTCAAACGTTGAAATGTTGAAAAAGAGAAAAGAAAAGTGAAAAACCGAAAGTAGAAAAATTAAAATTTAGAACAAGAATCTAAAAATTGAAAAATCAAAAAATTCTAATGTTAAAAATTCGAAAAATTGAAAAATTCGAAAGTTGAAAAATCAGAACATTGAAAATGTAAAAGTGAGAAGATCCAGATATCGAAAGATGCAGACGTTGAAAAATCGAAAAATTACAAAATAAAAATCGAAAAATTGAGAAAAGAAAAACCAAAAAGTCGACAAATTTGTCAATTGAAAAAACATTTTAAAGAAAAATTTTAAACTTGAATTTAATATCGAAAATCAAAAACCTGAAAAAACGAAACAGTGAGAAGTCGAAAAATTGAAAAATCCAAAAATTGAGAACTTTAAAAATTGATACATTGAAAATCAAGAAATCGAATAATAGAGAAACTGAGAAGTGAAGAATTGAAAAATTCGGAAATTCAAAAATCGAAAAATAGAAACTGAAAAATGTAAAAGTAAATAAAAGCGAAAATTGCAAAATAAAAATAAAAAAGTTGAAAATTGAAAGAAAAATCTAAAAACTGAAAAAACGAAAATTAAAACCTGAAAAACCAAACATTGTGAAATCGAAAAACTCAATAAAAATATTAAAACATCGAAAAATTGAAACATTTCATAACCAAAAAATTGTAAAATCGAAGAATTAATGTTGGATTGAAAAATCTAAAGTCAAGAAACTAATAATCGAAGAATTGTAACCTTGAAACATTAAAAAAATGGAAACACTGAAAAATATGAACATTCAAAAGTCGAAAATGTTGAAAAACAGAAATGAAAAATTAAAAACCGAAAGGTGAAAAATAAAAATTTACAACAAGAATCTAAAAACTGAAAAATCGAAAAATTCCACTGTTAAAAATTCGAAAAATGAGAAATATCGAAAATGTAAAAGTGGGAATATTATAAAATCGAAAAACTGAAGAAAAGAAAAATTTAAAATCGAGAGAGACACCCGATCACGTCAACAACAGTGAATTTTATTTGTCGAGATCAAAACCACGTTGCTTAATAATTATGCAACCAACAATACACAACCGCGCTCTTCCTCCCAAACCTTTCCGTGATTGCATTTGCTCGAACGCCCAGATGTCCGAATACCACCCAGCACATGTTCGCAATACCGATTTATTACTATGTAATTCCAAGATGGATGATTCATGGTACAGTAAAATATCACCTGTTAATAAAACCGCACCATACTCTTTATCAATCCGTTTATCTTCGGGCTTAAAATAAAAGACCTTGCAAATTTGAGCTTAACCTCACTCTTCGCCACTACACCGTTCATTCAACCTACCGATTGATTACCAATAATTTTTGTCTTCATTCAAAGGAATTTACATCACGTCACTGTTTGTTTTCTATTTAGTGTGCAATTTTACGTGCTCTAGTCCACACCATGAAATCTTGAACTTTGTATTTTTACCCGTTTTACCAACGTTCTGAAAAGTAAGTACCTTGAATTTGTTAGAGGGTCGTAATGTTACGTTAGTGCATACTAGAATTTCGTAATTTGATAACAATTATTTAAAAAAATGTGACAAGGTGTTTTGGTTTAGTTTTTTTAAAAAGGGAGAGTCTGCAACATTGTCGCTTATTCACGTCCTTTTGATTTTAGGTTTTAGTGTAGTGCTTATTCGATATTCTACGAATTTTATCACTGCATCGAATTGCCCCTAGCTAAAAATAGTAGCGCAATCGAAATAAAATATTTTGCATTTTTTGTTCATACATATTAAAAAACGCTAATTCGGTATTTTACAAATGAAACGATTTTAACGTAACCTTGGTGGTGTTACGAATTAAATCACGCAAAACAACTTGTTGCTACATTTATTTTTAAGATTACCCAATTTATAGCAAATTTCGGTAAACATCTAAAACTTTCAATTTTTTTGTATAATAATAATTATAGTCACGCATTTGTTGCGGCAAATTTATGTATGTCTGGTTGCATAACTAGATTTGCTTAATTTATTACTTAATTAATTAAGTAACAGATTTAACTTAACTTAATGCACTTTTGCTATACAAATGGATTACATTCGAATCAAATTACTCAGAAACAATACCCGTTTATACAGTAATTTTTTATGATTGCATATAAAATACCAATTTAATTGTTTATTTCTAAGCTGAATCAGTGTTAATGAATTTTTATTGGTTCATTACTGATCTCTTTTCAACGTTCAATAGTAACGCGTTAGTGCTTTAGTTTTCATCACAATAGAACCTATTTAAATAGTCCAAATTTTTATAGCTGGTAATTGTGATATTCTTTAATCCGTATTATCTACGTCTGGATTTACGTTTTTAGTGCTGTGATAAAACAAATTATTCTTTATGTAAATTCTCGTCTTCAAGATTATCAGATTTTGAGAGAAAAACACACATCAAAGTTCATTTAGCATCGATAGTGAACGGTAACGTATTTTTTCGTACGATTTAACTAACATGCTAAACCTTTGTAACATTTGTTAAACGTATATTGTAATCTAATCAGTAAAGACTTATTATTATTGACGTAACAAAAAAGTTTTATAAAGCAAACATCTACCTGATTTTAATATCTTTGTTTTGCAGGTGACAGCTAAAAATTGCATCCTCTTCATAGACCACTGATTTTCAACGTCAAACATGGCCGCAGGACAACATTTTTTTGGTCCTTGGGACTACGTCGTCCTGGTTATCGTCTTGCTAATTTCGGCCAGCATTGGCGTGTACTACCGATTTACAGGGGGCAAACAAAAAACAATGCAAGTGCGTTTTCGTACTTAAGTCGAGTCACTCAGTAACTTTTTTTTTAAGGAATATCTACTAGCCGATAAAAACATGTCCATAATCCCGGTCGCGTTTTCTCTAATGGCGTCATTCATGTCTGCTATAACACTCCTGGGAGTGTCGAGCGAAAACTACACCTTTGGTATACAATTCATTGTAATTAACATCTCCTACGGGATATTTACACCCGTAGCGGCATACTTATACCTACCTGTTTTCTTCAAACTGCAAGCAACAAGTGCCTATGAAGTAATACCACGCTTTATAATCGACTGCATACAAATTTTTTTCGTTTCAGTACTTGGAAAGGAGATTCGGGAAAGCGTCAAGACTTGCCGCATCTTTGTCGTATACTCTGCAAATGACGCTATATATGGGGGTGGTTCTATACGCTCCTGCTTTAGCTTTGGAGGCTTTAACAGGAATCAGTAAAGTAGCAGCTATATTGTCTGTCGGTAAACGAAACACGGGCATGGAAAAAATTCTGGGTGTATTAAAAAGCGATTTTTAGGGCTCGTTTGTACGTTTTACTCGACCATCGGTGGAATGAAGGCCGTGCTAATAACTGACGTATTTCAGTCGCTTCTGATGTTCGCTGCGGTGTTCAGCGTCATTATTTACGCGGTCATCGACAAGGGAAGTTTTGACGAAATTTGGAATATAGCGGAGCGTGGAAATCGTACAGACCTTTTGAAGTAAGTTCTTAGTATAACCATTGTTTAAGTATATTATAGTTGGACAACCTAATACAAATTTTACTTCGCCTAAATAGTGAGCTTTAAGACAAGGAATCCAAGGGGCGTGGGACAAATTTTTCGTCAACGCGCATTTTCACTACAGTGAGCCAACGTATTAGGTTTATTTTACTGTACATCAGATGGCGCCATCAAACATTAGCAAAGGCAAACACCCTTCATTCTGCTCTTATACGAGGAGTTATCCATAAATCCATAATTAACATTCTTCCGTAAACAGTAATGTGTATAAACATATATGTACAAAATATGAAAATGTACTTGACATAAAAAATATGACGCAACACGTTGTAACGTGATTCGAAAGAATAGTATTTAAATCAATTTTGGGCTTTTCCAATTCTTCCATTCTTCAAATTTTCTATTTCTCGATTTTTTTATTTTTGGATGTTTCAATGATACGATTTCACAATTTTTGTTCTCTTCAATTTTACGGTTTTTAAATATTTTGATTTTTCAATTTTTCAAATGTTTACGTTAAATTTTCAGTTTTCCGATTTCTAAAGTATTTTTTTTTTCCATTTCTGGACTTCGATTTTTCACATCTTCAATTCTTCAATTTTTCGATTTTTTAAGTTTACGATTTTTTGATTTTGCTTTTTTAGATTTTCGATTTCTCAATTTTCCAATTTTTTAATTTCTCAATTTTTTGAATATTTCTTTCAGTTATGAGATTTTCAAAATTTCAATTTTTCGACTTTTCGATTTTTGAATTGATGGATTTTTTTTGATTTCTCGATTTTTTAATTTTTGGATCTTCAATTTATTGTAAACTTTAAATTTTTCAATTCTGCGACTGTTTTATACTTCGATTTCTCAATTTTTCAATTTTTAACTTTCCTTTTCGGCTTCCGACTCCTCAATTTCTCGATCCTCCAATTTTTCGATTCCTCGATGTCTCAGTCTTTGAATTTTTCGATGTTTCGATTTTTTAATTTCTCGGTTTATTGATTTTTTTCTTTTGAGCTTTTCAATTTCTGGATTTTCCAATTTTTCAACGTCCCGATTATTCAATTATTCAATTTTTTAAATTGAATTGGATTTCTCGATTCTTCAATTAATTCTGCGATATTTTAATTGTTCAATGTTTTAAATTTTAGATTTTTCGATTTCTCGATTTTTTGACTTTTCAGTTCTTCAGTATTTAAATTTTTCAATTTTTCAAATTTTTACGTTAAATTTTCAGTTTTCCGATTTCTAAAGATTTTTTTTTATTTTTCCATTTCTGGACTTCGATTTTTCACATCTTCAATTCTTCAATTTTTCGATTTTTTAAGCTTACCATTTTTTGATTTTGCTTTTTTAGATTTTCGATTTCTCAATTTTCCAATTTTTTAATTTCTCAATTTTTTGAATATTTCTTTCAGTTATGAGATTTTCAAAATTTCAATTTTTCGACTCTTCGATTTTTGAATTGATGGATTTTTTTTGATTTCTCGATTTTTTAATTTTTGGATCTTCAATTTATTGTAAACTTTAAATTTTTCAATTCTGCGACTGTTTTATACTTCGATTTCTCAATTTTTCAATTTTTAACTTTCCTTTTCGGCTTCCGACTCCTCAATTTCTCGATCCTCCAATTTTTCGATTTCTCGATGTCTCAGTTTTTGAATTTTTCGATGTTTCGATTTTTTAATTTCTCGGTTTACTGATTTTTTTCTTTTGAGCTTTTCAATTTCTGGATTTTCCAATTTTTCAACGTCCCGATTTTTCAATTTTTTAAATTGAATTGGATTTCTCGATTCTTCAATTCTGCGATATTTTAATTGTTCAATGTTTTAAATTTTAGATTTTTCGATTTCTCGATTTTTTGACTTTTCAGTTCTTCAGTATTTAAATTTTTCAATTTTTCAAATTTTTACGTTAAATTTTCAGTTTTCCGATTTCTAAAGTATTTTTTTTTCCATTTCTGGACTTCGATTTTTCACATCTTCAATTCATCAATTTTTGGATTTTTTAAGCTTACGATTTTTTGATTTTGTTTTTTAGATTTTCGATTTCTCAATTTTCCAATTTTTTAATTTCTCAATTTTCTGAATATTTCTTTCAGTTATGAGATTTTCAAAATTTCAATTTTTCGACTTTTCGATTTTTGAATTGATGGATTTTTTTTGATTTCTCGATTTTTTAATTTTTGGATCTTCAATTTATTGTAAACTTTAAATTTTTCAATTCTGCGACTGTTTTATACTTCGATTTCTCAATTTTTCAATTTTTAACTTTCCTTTTCGGCTTCCGACTCCTCAATTTCTCGATCCTCCAATTTTTCGATTCCTCGATGTCTCAGTCTTTGAATTTTTCGATGTTTCGATTTTTTAATTTCTCGGTTTATTGATTTTTTTCTTTTGAGCTTTTCAATTTCTGGATTTTCCAATTTTTCAACGTCCCGATTATTCAATTATTCAATTTTTTAAATTGAATTGGATTTCTCGATTCTTCAATTAATTCTGCGATATTTTAATTGTTCAATGTTTTAAATTTTAGATTTTTCGATTTCTCGATTTTTTGACTTTTCAGTTCTTCAGTATTTAAATTTTTCAATTTTTCAAATTTTTACGTTAAATTTTCAGTTTTCCGATTTCTAAAGATTTTTTTTTATTTTTCCATTTCTGGACTTCGATTTTTCACATCTTCAATTCTTCAATTTTTCGATTTTTTAAGCTTACCATTTTTTGATTTTGCTTTTTTAGATTTTCGATTTCTCAATTTTCCAATTTTTTAATTTCTCAATTTTTTGAATATTTCTTTCAGTTATGAGATTTTCAAAATTTCAATTTTTCGACTCTTCGATTTTTGAATTGATGGATTTTTTTTGATTTCTCGATTTTTTAATTTTTGGATCTTCAATTTATTGTAAACTTTAAATTTTTCAATTCTGCGACTGTTTTATACTTCGATTTCTCAATTTTTCAATTTTTAACTTTCCTTTTCGGCTTCCGACTCCTCAATTTCTCGATCCTCCAATTTTTCGATTTCTCGATGTCTCAGTTTTTGAATTTTTCGATGTTTCGATTTTTTAATTTCTCGGTTTACTGATTTTTTTCTTTTGAGCTTTTCAATTTCTGGATTTTCCAATTTTTCAACGTCCCGATTTTTCAATTTTTTAAATTGAATTGGATTTCTCGATTCTTCAATTCTGCGATATTTTAATTGTTCAATGTTTTAAATTTTAGATTTTTCGATTTCTCGATTTTTTGACTTTTCAGTTCTTCAGTATTTAAATTTTTCAATTTTTCAAATTTTTACGTTAAATTTTCAGTTTTCCGATTTCTAAAGTATTTTTTTTTCCAATTCTGGACTTCGATTTTTCACATCTTCAATTCATCAATTTTTGGATTTTTTAAGCTTACGATTTTTTGATTTTGTTTTTTAGATTTTCGATTTCTCAATTTTCCAATTTTTTAATTTCTCAATTTTCTGAATATTTCTTTCAGTTATGAGATTTTCAAAATTTCAATTTTTCGACTTTTCGATTTTTGAATTGATGGTTTTTTTTGATTTCTCGATTTTTTAATTTTTGGATCTTCAATTTATTGTCAAGTTTAAATTTTTCAATTCTGCGACTGTTTTATACTTCGATTTCTCAATTTTTGAATTTTTAACTTTCCTTTTTGGCTTCCGACTCCTCAATTTCTCGATCCTCCAATTTTTCGATTTCTCGATGTCTCAGTTTTTGAATTTTTCGATGTTTCGATTTTTTAATTTCTCGGTTTATTGATTTTTTTCTTTTGAGCTTTTCGATTTCTGGATTTTCCAATTTTTCAACGTCCCGATTTTTCAATTTTTTAAATTGAATTGGATTTCTCGATTCTTCAATTCTGGGATATTTTAATTGTTCAATGTTTTAAATTTTAGATTTTTCGATTTCTCGATTTTTTGACTTTTCAGTTCTTCAGTATTTAAATTTTTCAATTTTTCAAATTTTTACGTTAAATTTTCAGTTTTCCGATTTCTAAAGTTTTTTTTTTTATTTTTCCATTTCTGGAGTTCGATTTTTCACATCTTCAATTCTTCAATTTTTCGATTTTTTAAGCTTACGATTTTTTGATTTTGCTTTTTTAGATTTTTGATTTCTCAATTTTCCAATTTTTTAATTTCTCAATTTTTTGAATATTTCTTTCAGTTATGAGATTTTCAAAATTTCAATTTTTCGACTTTTCGATTTTTGAATTGATGGATTTTTTTTGATTTCTCGATTTTTTAATTTTTGGATCTTCAATTTATTGTAAACTTTAAATTTTTCAATTCTGCGACTGTTTTATACTTCGATTTCTCAATTTTTCAATTTTTAACTTTCCTTTTCGGCTTCCGACTCCTCAATTTCTCGATCCTCCAATTTTTCGATTTCTCGATGTCTCAGTTTTTGAATTTTTCGATGTTTCGATTTTTTAATTTCTCGGTTTATTGATTTTTTTCTTTTGAGCTTTTCGATTTCTGGATTTTCCAATTTTTCAACGTCCCGATTTTTCAATTTTTCAATTTTTTAAATTGAATTGGATTTCTCGATTCTTCAATTCTGCAATATTTTAATTGTTCAATGTTTTAAATTTTAGATTTTTCGATTTCTCTATTTTTTGACTTTTCAGTTCTTCAGTATTAAAATTTTTCAATTTTTCAAATTTTTACGTTAAATTTTCAGTTTTCTGATTTCTCAATTAATCTATTGTTGATTTTCCCACTTCTCAAAGTTTCGATTTTTCAGTTCTTCAATTCTTCGATTTTTCGACTTCGCTTTATTGGTTTTTCGATTTCTCAATTTTTGGATATTTCTTTCAGTTTTGATATTTTTCAATACTTCGATTCTTTTATTTTCCGACTTCTAGATTTTTCGATTTTTTATTTTTGGATTTTCAGTTTTTCGTTTTTTATACTTTCGATTTTTCAATTTTTCGATTGTCTTATATTTCAATGTCTCAATTTTTCAACTTTTCCATATTTTAATTTTTAAATTTCTAGATTTTTCGGTTTCTCGAGTGTCCAATTCTATATTTTAATTTTTCAAATTTCCGAATTTTTAAATTCTTTGAGATCCCAATTTATTGAGATTGGGATGTTTCGATGTTTTGATTGTTCAATCTCTCGCTTTATCAATTTTTCCATATTTTCGATTTTGGCCTATTTCGGTTTCTCAATTTTTCGATTTTTCGACTTCTTTTTTGGTCTTTTGATTTTTCGATTTGTTGGTTTTTCGATTTTTGCTTTTCGGTTTCTCGATTTTTCGATGTTTCGATTTTTGATTTATCCGATTTTTCAATTGTCCAATTTTTTAAATCTTCGACTTCTCGATTCGTTGATTTTTCAGTTTTGCGATTTTTAAATTTTAGATTTTCGAATTTTTATTTTTTTGATTTTTTGATGTTTGGATTTCTCCATTTTTCAGTTTTAGGATATTTTAACTTCTCAATGTTTTAAATTTTAGATTTTTTCGATTTTTCAGTTCTTCGATATTTTTTTATTTTTCAAATTTTGACGTTTCTGAATTTTTAGTTTTCGGATTTCTCAATTAATCTATTTTTTTATATTCCCATTTCTCCACTTCCCAAAGTTTCCATTTTTCAGTTCTTCAATTCTTCGATTTTTCGACTTCGCTTTATTGGTTTTTCGATTTCTCAATTTTTGGATATTTCTTTCACTTCACAAAGTTTCGATTTTTCAAGTTCTTCAATTCTTCGATTTTTCGACTTCGCTTTATTGGTTTTTCGATTTCTCAATTTTTGGATATTTCTTTCAGTTTTGATATTTTTCAATACTTCGATTCTTTGATTTTCCGACGTCTAGATTTTTCGATTTTTTATTTTTGGTTTTTGAGTTTTTCGTTTTTTATACTTTCGATTTTTCAATTTTTCGATTGTCTTATATTTCAATTTCTCAATTTTTCAACTTTTCCATATTTTAATTTTTAAATTTCTAGATTTTTCGGTTTCTCAAGTGTCCAATTCTATATTTTAATTTTTCAAATTTCCGAATTTTTAAATTTTTTGAGATCCCAATTTATTGAGATTAGGATGTTTCGATGTTTTGATTGTTCAATCTCTCGCTTTATCAATTTTTTCATATTTTCGATTTTGGCCTATTTCGGTTTCTCAATTTTTCGATTTGTTGGTTTTTCGATTTTTGCTTTTCGGTTTCTCGATTTTTCGCTGTTTCGATTTTTGATTTATCCGATTTTTCAATTGTCCAATTTTTTAAATTTTCGACTTCTCGATTCGTTGATTTTTCAGTTTTTCGATTTTTAAATTTTAGATTTTCGAATTTTTATTTTTTTGATTTTTTGATGTTTGGATTTCTCCATTTTTCAGTTTTAGGATATTTTAACTTTTCAATGTTTTAAATTTTAGATTTTTCAATTTTTCAGTTCTTCGATATTTTTTTATTTTTCAAATTTTGACGTTTCTGAATTTTTAGTTTTCGGATTTCTCAATTAATCTATTTTTTTATGTTCCCATTTCTCCACTTCCCAAAGTTTCGATTTTTCAGTTCTTCAATTCTTCGATTTTTCGACTTCGCTTTATTGGTTTTTCGATTTCTCAATTTTTGGATATTTCTTTCACTTCACAAAGTTTCGATTTTTCAAATTCTTCAATTCTTCGATTTTTCGACTTCGCTTTATTGGTTTTTCGATTTCTCAATTTTTGGATATTTCTTTCAGTTTTGATATTTTTCAATACTTCGATTCTTTGATTTTCCGACGTCTAGATTTTTCGATTTTTTATTTTTGGTTTTTGAGTTTTTCGTTTTTTATACTTTCGATTTTTCATTTTTTCAATTGTTTTATATTTCAATGTCTCAATTTTTCAACTTTTCCATATTTTAATTTTTAAATTTCTAGATTTTTCGGTTTCTCGAGTGTCCAATTCCATATTTTAATTTTTCAAATTTCCGAATTTTTAAATTTTTTGAGATCCCAATTTATTGAGATTGGGATGTTTCGAAGTTTTGATTGTTCAATCTCTCGCTTTATCAATTTTTCCATTTTTCGATTTTTGCTTTTCGGTTTCTCGATTGTTCGATGTTTCGATTTTTGATTTATCCAATTTTTCAATTGTCCAATTTTTTAAATTTTCGAGTTCTCGATTCGTTGATTTTTCAGTTTTTCGATTTTTAAATTTTAGATTTTCGAATTTTTATTTTTTTGATTTTTTGATGTTTGGATTTCTCCATTTTTCAGTTTTAGGATATTTTAACTTACCAATGTTTTAAATTTTAGATTTTTCAATTTTTCAGTTCTTCATATATTACATATATGTAAAGTCCCCAACTAATAGTTCCGTTTAGTACCTTATCGACATCACGTGCTTACAAACTATTTTTACTCCCTTTCGTAAGGTACCGCCACTTGATAGTGAAGCGTGTGAGATGTAAAATATATGTTCATTCTTTTCTACATGGGAAAGTGATTGTCCGTATAAGTTGTCCAACTATAATATACTTAAACAATGGTATAACTATCCCGTGGGTACCTAGAATTTGTTTTTAGCTTCAACCCTGACCCCACAGAACGACACTCCTGGTTTTCACTAATCATAGGCGGAGGGATAACTTTTTTGTCGCTGTATGCCGTAAACCAAACCCAAGTGCAACGATACTTAACTGTCAAAGATTTAAAAAGGGCGCAGACGGCTTTATGGTTAAACTGGCCTATATTAACGTGCTTAAGTCTCAGTACGTCATTCTCTGGCTTAGCTATTTACTCAAAGTATGCTGCCTGTGATCCAGTTAAAGCCAAAGTAATTAATAGCCCGGATCAGTTAATGCCTTTATACGTGGTAGATACGATGGGAGATATACCCGGTCTGTCTGGTCTTTTCGTGGCTGGCATCTTCAGTGCGTCGCTATCCACAGTTTCAGCGGCAGTTAATAGTTTAGCTGCTGTAACGATAGAAGACTACTACAAGGTTGGTACAATATCACCACCAAACTAAACTAATTTATCATTTTAAGCCCTTATACAAAAGTATTTTTGGTAAATCGCTGTCGGAAAAAACCATCGCTATACAGTCGAAACTGATCGCTTTGTTATTCGGTTTGCTGTGTTTAGCGGTTGCGTTTTTGGCGCAGTTTCTAGGAGGGGTGTTGCAAGCGTCTTTAACGATATTTGGAGTGGTGGGTGGACCTTTACTAGCGCTATTCACGTTAGGGATGTTTACAACGACAGCAAACGAAAAGGTACACATTGTATTAATTTTCAAACTACTAAATATAAATTACGTTTGGGTTTGTGCAGGGTTCGTTGTTTGGGCTTCTGTGTGGGATAAGTTTTGCTTTGTGGATGGCTTTTGGTAACCCGAAACCACCGCTGCCCGCACTACCCGTCACAACTGAAGGTTGCTCGAGTGTTTTTACCAATGTAACAGTTGTGGCAGAGCCGCAGCTAACAAGAGCTACAACACAACAACAGTAAGTCAATTATAGTTAAAAATACTTAACATTTGTGTTTTCTTTTCAGAGAGTATTTTTGGTTGTACAAAGTTTCGTACTTATATAACGGAGTTTTTGGTCTCTTAAGTACTTACATAATTGGTTACGTTGCTAGTTTGGTTATAAATAAAATAAAAGGGGTGTCGACTCAAAATCTGGATCCGCATTTATTTATTACGCCGATCGCAAGGAGGTTGGAGAGGACGATGGACATACCGCTGAACACGAAGGAGTTATCCGATTCTCAGGAGGAGTTAAATGGTAAATATGAAGTGAACGGGAAATACTAGTGAAACGATCTCTTAGTAAATTTGTAGTGAACAAAATGGAATTTAATTTTTGTACTTATTTATTAAATGATGTAGCTTAGGTATGATCAGGGTCTTCCGTTAGTTAGAATGTATGTATAGGTCGGATGAATTATGCAGCGCAGGTTGTTGTTAAATAAATTATTTTATAAAAATTGGTTGTTTTATTTCGATCTAATTTTTGTGTTCGCGTGAACGATATCGTTGTATAAAAACATAAACAGAACTGGGATTAGAACGGTTCCTTGCATTTTGCTCTTACAATAAAGTCGTTAAAATAATGAAAATCTTGGAGAGACACGAAGAAAGAGCAATAATAAAAGTGGCGAAGACTTCTGATACAAAAAAAAAATTGGTCTAAAGAGTTTAGACAGTACTTCCCTCGCTGTCGGAAACTTGACGACTGCATGCCTATTGTGTTTTTTTTTCTCATTACATTTTTGTAGTGGGAATTAAAAAAAAAAATTGCGATGACGTCATCAACATTTTTGCAAGGACACGTATATCAGTTGGGATAGATGTAGTGTAATACTAAGAATAAAATTATTATATTCTCAAATTTTAGGGAAAATGAATTGGGTCGTTTTGAATATTGATTTGTAATAATCAATAAAATAACGAAACAATTTACTCACGTATACGTATCAGAAGCAACTGAAAATCGTGTATGTATAAACATTCTTAATTTAAGATGACAGGCGTAACAGCATACGTTAGAGTCAAACAGAGAAACTGTAAACAAAACGACCATCGGTTTTATTGCTTCGACTTCCGCTTATTATATAAAACATTGGGTTTTATTTTAATTCTTGACGGTGAAATTCACAATTGGTTGATTATAAACATGTCTATTTCACATTCGCGGAACCAAGTGAGCGCATAAAACAAATGCAGGTCTGTAATGTTAAAGTCGATGTAAATAAGCGTGCTACCCTTATGTTTCAACCGAGTTTTTCCTTTAACAAATTTTGTGTCTACCAAATTGGGTTGGTTGGGGTGTAATACTAATAATAAGTGTTGCCTTTAATTTAATCAATAAAATAAATTGACTTCATTAATTTTTTTGAACCACCTCTTAAGAAAATCTAAAAAATATGAATGGAATGATAAATCACAAGTACAAACTCATCATATTTTTTGCATTTTAGATAGGATTTATTCAGCAAAATTTAAGGGTGACGTCATCAATTTTTTTAGGAGGGATGAACAAATACATTTTGAACAAAAGTTTACCATGCTTATAATAACTTTAAAATATTCCCAAGATTTCAAAGCATTCGGTTTTGTAATTCCTGATTAAATCGATAAAATAAAATAAATTCACGCCTTCATTAATTTTTTTGAGTCACCCTGCATACGCAAATCCAAAAATATGAATGGAATGATAAATCACAAGTACAGACTCATCATATTTTGTACATTTTAGAAACGATTTATTCGGCAAACTTTTGAGCTGACGTCATTAGTTTTTTGTAGAAGATAACCAAATATATTTTGACTAAAAATTTATTATGCTCTTTATAACCTTAAAACATCTGCAAGATTTCAAAGCATTCGGTTTTGTAGTTCCTGATTAAATTAATAAAATAAATTTACGCATTCATTAATTTTTTTGAGTCACCCTGTATATGCAAATCGAAAAAATTTGAATGGAATGATAAATCACAAGAAGAGACTCACCATATTTTGTACATTTTAGATAGGATTTATTCAGCAAAATTTTGTGGTGATGTCATAAATTTTTTAGGGGGGACGACCAAATACATTTTGATCAAAAATTTACCATGTTTATGATAATTTTAAAATATCTTCAAGATTTCGAAGCATTCGGTTTTGTAGTTCCTGAGTAAATCAGTAAAATAAATTTACGCTTTCATTTATTTTCTTGAATCACCCTGTATATGCAAATCCAAAAAATATGAATGGAGTGATAGATCACAAGTACAGACTGATCATATTTTGTACATTTTAGATATGATTTATTCGGCAAATTTTCGAGCTGACGTCATCAAGTTTTTGGAGGGGATAAGCAAATATATTTTGACTAAACATTTATTATGCTCTTTATAACCCTAAAACGTCTGCAAGATGTTAGAGCATTCCGTTTTGAAGTTCCTGATTAAATCAATAAAATATATTTACGCATTCATTAATTTTTTTGAGTCACTCTGTATATGCAAATCCAAAAAATATGAATGGAGTGATAAATGACAAGTACAGGCTCATCATATTTTGTACATTTTAGATATGATTTATTCGGCAAACTTTCGAGCTGACGTCATCAAGTTTTTGGAGGGGATAAGCAAATATATTTTGACTAAACATTTATTATGCTCTTTATGACCTTAAAACATCTGCAAGATTTCAGAGCATTGGGTTTTGTAGTTCCTGATTAAATCAATAAAATATATTTACGCATTCATTAATTTTTTTGAGTCACCCTGTATATGCAAATCCAAAAAATATGAATGCAGTGATAGATCACAAATACAGACTCATCATATTTTGTACATTTTAGATATGATTTATTCCACAAACTTTTGAGCTGACGTCATCAAGTTTTTGGAGGGGATAAGCAAATATTTTTGACTAAAGATTTATGATGCTCTTTATAGCCTTAAAACATCTGCAACATTTCAAAGCATTCTGGTTAGCAGATTAAAAATTAAATTTCAAAATGTTGTTTTATAATTTTGACTTTTTTTCCAAAAATCTGGACGTTTCGGGTGAAAAGTCGATTCAGAGTTGTAAACTACATGTGTAGGACTATGTTATTTTATACAATTGAAAACCCATTTACTATGTACAATTTTGAAGTGACGTCATCGCATTAGTGGTGGGGATGATTAGACAAATTTTGGTTAGCGTTTTACCATCTACATGATATGCTTAATATAAATACAAAATTTCACAACAATCGGTCGAGTACTTTCGGAGATTATCTGTTTAATAAAAATCCGGGACAACAGACGGACAGACGGACGGACAGACGGACGGACAGACGGACGGACAGACGGACGGACAGACGGACGGACAGACGGACGGACAGACGGACGGACAGACGGACAGACAGACGGAAATGGGAGACCTATTTCTTCGTCTTCTAGGGGTCATGAAAGATCGAGAAAACGTAAAAGTAGAGAGTCGGCCGACGGACTCGATTACAATACTTCCTTTGCTTACGCTCGGGAAGTAACTAGCAAAACATCTATATTTTACTCAAAGATATTGAAAAGAAAGTATGATTTTACTGTACGAAAAAGTAAGGTTAAGTTGTACTACTCCGCTGTCAATGTTGTTCTTGAAGGAGCTGCTTTTCCTGCATCTCATTTCTGACAAAAAAACTGGTCTATAGTTATGTAGACAGACCTTCCCTCGCTCCTTCAGGCCCAAGGTCTTTTCGAATTCATAAAAAAAATACATCAAAACCAGTAATTCTCTTAATACTTAAAAAAAAAAAATCTAAAACAACATACCAAGGGACCCAAAAAATCCTTTTATGATAAAAAAAATACACTAGGGGATCACAAAATTCTTTCAAATTTTTTCAAAAACAAAATAACGGAGTCTCCAAAGATTCTTTCCTCTTTGAAAAAGCAGACACTTGGGCTCACAAAATTGTTTCAAATTCTGTCAAAAATCAAATGCCAGAGGCAACCGAACTTCTCAATTTTTTTTACAACACAAATATTTTTCCATATTAAAAAAAAAACATCCCAAAACTTAAATACATATGTATCGAAAAATTGAAAAATGTCAATACTGTAATGTGAAAAAATTGGGAAATCGAAACATTGAGAAATCCAAATAGCTCATAATCCAAATACCGAAAAATTGAAAAAAACCGGAATGCCGAATCTCGATAAATCAAAATTTAAGAACCAAAAAATTGAAAAATTCCTAAACTGTAATTTAGAAAAATTGAGGAAGCGAAAAAGTGAAATGTTAAAAAATTGAATAATTGAAAAGGCAAAAAGTCGAAAAATCGAAACATCCAGAAATCCAAACATCAAAAGATGAAAATTCGAAAAATCTAGAAGTCGAAAGATTGAAAAATCGACAAGTTTAAAAACGAAAAATTGATTAAAATGAAAAATCAAAAATTTGAAGACCAAAAAATTGAAAAATCGAGGAAAAGGAAAATTGGAAAATGAAGGAATTGAAAAATTGAAAATTTAAATATAGAAAGACTGAAAAATCCCTAAACTATAATGGAGAAAAATTGCGAGGGCGAAAAACTAAAACATCAAAAAATTGGAAAATCGAGAAGGCAAAAAGTCGAAAAATCAACAAGTTCAAAAACGAAAAATTGAAAAAATCGAAACATCGAAATTTCGATAAATGAGAAATCTAAAAATTGATATAAATGGAAAATCAGAAAATTGTAAAACCAAAAAATTGAAAAATCGAGATGAAAAATCCCACAATTGAAATATCGAAAAATTGAAAATCGAGGAATTGAGACATTGAAAAATTTAAGAATCGAAAAACTGAAATCTGTAATGTAGAAAAACTGAGAAAGCAAAAATTGAAAGACATTTTTTTACATTTTTAAAAAAGAGACTAAAATACCCCGAGAAAAAATATCAACAGACCCAAAAAATTCTTTCACATTAAAAAAAATTGGTCTAAAGAGTTTAGACAGTACTTCCCTCGCTGTCGGAAACTTGACGACTGCATGGCTATTGTGTTTTTTTCTCATTACATTTTTGTAGTGGGAATTTAAAAAAAATTGCGATGACGTCAACATTTTTGCAAGGACACGTATATCAGTTGGGATAGATGTAGTGTAATACTAAGAATAAAATTATTGTATTCTCAAATTTTCGGGAAAATGAATTGGGTCGTTTTGAATATTGATTTTTTATAATCAATAAAATAACGAAACAATTTACTCACGTATACGGCAACTGAAAATCGTTTATGTATAAACATTCTTAATTTAAGATGACAAGCCTAACAGCATACGTGAGAGTCAAACAGAGAAACTGTAAACAAAACGACCATCGGTTTTATTGCTTCGACTTCCGCTTATTATATAAAACATTGGGTTTTATTTTAATTCTTGACGGTGAAATTCACAATTGGTTGATTATAAACATGTCTATTTCACATTCGCGGAACCAAGTGAGCGCATAAAACAAATGCAGGTCTG